GATACAGAGGTCTCAGATTGAAGCATCACTGATGGCGTCAATGATTCCATCAAAACCTGCCATGGCAATTGCGTCTTTGCGGAGCATGTTCTGCAATCAGTCCAACTGGCATGATATCAATCAAACGGGGACCTTGTGCTGGCTCATCATGTTGCTTCGCCCTTGCCTACCAAGCGCCCAGCCTTGCAACGAACTGCCTAGGTGCTTTGAGTAGCTGGCAAGGCATAAACTTGGCTCCGTGGCGATATAAAATTGGCGCATCAGCGCTACAGCGAAACGGGTCAAAATGGGCACAGGTCATGCAGATGATACTTACATGCCTTGGTGCATACATAGACAGAAGCAGGGGGTCTCCAAGAAGATTAGAATAGAGGGCTGCAGCAGTCAGAAGCAAAGGCAACGTCGCTCACAGTACTGCAAGGCCGACGAGTGCTTTTCGACTGTCCTTGGGCCTTGGTATCGAAGCGTCGTCCATGAGAACTGATTTTTTTGGTGGGGGGATATCGCAACATGAAACTCGGCAGTCACCGGCGGAAGGCTTATGAGGGAGCCGAGATGGACATCGAGTCACGGTTGACTGCAGTACGGCGCAGCAACTTGAGAGCCCTTGAGCAGCTCCAACTCGGCGCACTGTGACTAGGCCCTCACCAGTCTGGTTGCAGACGCTAAGGCCAAACAGGTGAAAGGCGTCAACTGGTGCTGCGGGCTGGAGCAATCAGCGGGCGGCTCGGCCTCAGATCCCTGCATGTGCCCTGCAGAGTCACAGCTCGACAATCGATCGGCTGCTAAATCTGTCCCAGCGCCGCTCAGGGCTTGGATCGTGCTGGCCGTGCATGCTTTCCCTTTCCTTCTTCATGGCAGCCGCAGCCGCAGCAGCAACTTGACTCTCGAGTCTTGAGCTTCTTGGCGGACGTTGATGACTGACTTGGGCAGGTACTTGGGTACCTTCCTGGTGGCTCAAGCGACTGAGACACAAACGACGGCTTTGTCTCCTGAGCGTCGCTTTACTTCGGCCTTGATGCATTGCGGCGTGATGAAACGACCAAAAGCTGCCCCAAAGGCTATCAGTTAAAGCTTATCGTCGGACGCGGCGGCGGCGGCGGTGGCAAGGAAGGGTTTCGACATTTGTGGTGAATCCCTCCCGCCACAGCCACGGTACCACGGGACCGAGATATTATTCAAGCATCATGTGTACTACGGGTGCTGATGCGGATAAATGTCTCAACAAAAAAAGTCTCCCGCCATTCTGGAAAACAAATGCCACATGCCTAGTACTACTTACTACTCATACATACAATTGCGCACTCGCTTCAGGCCTGGTTGTTGCCCTTGACGCTAGTTTCAGGCTCCGAGGCAGCAATCCGTTCTTGAGCTTTATCTCCAGCCTCCTTGCCTCTAAGTACCATTTGCCGGGCGGCGCAGAAGATGGCGGCCCCTGGTATCTCACATTGAACGCTGAAGCACCCGTTAAACAGGGCCCTATGTTTTGCGTATTCTAGTCGATAGTGATTATCAGCAAGTTAGCTCTGATAAATCCCAGAGCTAAACCGAATAACACCTGTGCATGTGCAGGCTTGGGACGGGACGGGGCAACGTGGACCACTTTTGTGTCTTGCATGCACGGAAATCTCACACGCACTGTGTTCGGTGCCCTCCGCTGTGGTCTGCCGCTGTGGTCTGCCGCTGTGGCCCGTTGGTGGGAATAACCCAAGAAACGTCGGTTGAACCCCATTACCAACCCCTTGGTACTTAAGCAGCTAGCGTATTTGCAGGAAACGAATTAATGCTGCTCAGTAGCCGACACTGTCAATATCGGCCGACCGTGCTTATGTGCTGATGGGCTTTCCTGATGCGCATGAGCCTCAAAGTGCTGGTACCTTGAGCACCACTCAGCGATGTCTTCAAATGGACTTTTGCCGCTCTCGACGGCCGATACAGGAGCACAAGTATTCAGGGACGCAGAAACCCGGTGTTCGGGGAATATTCATCAACCGTTCCCGCGTTGGCTTTGATGCAGTGACTTGAGCCATCCGGGGGCGCAGCTTGACACCAGACAGCACTTGCGTACGTGTTGAAACATTGCATGTACTATCATGGCAGACATGCATCCAAGACGACATACATAGGTGTCTGTGGCTGGAGTGCGCGGTCCATGTCTCCTATTATAACTTTGTGTTTGGAACACGCTGAGCCGGGAATGGCCTGCAGCCGACCAGCCTGAGACTGAAAGTGTGCGATAACTCGGCGGCATAAATCATAAATGCCGGCAACAAAACCCGTAGTTCCGTCCTACATTATTCACAGCGGCGCATTGAATGAGCGTCATGGGCTCTAGACATTGTGAGTCGTGACGGGGCCTTTCCTAAAGTATGTCGAGATGCAACATCCAGATACTTGGTACGGAGTAGTTGAGCAGCACTCATCCCGCTACTTACTTACTTAGACGCAGTAGTACACTGTGCCAGTGACATGCATGCATAATGCATGCTTCGGTACAAGTACCCAGTACTTGAGTGAGCACAAACATGCTGTTACCCCAAGTACCTGAGAGCCAGACTCCCGTCCGCGTTTGGCCATCAATTCAATCATCACAGGCAGGCATACATACATACATACTGCTCCATACATGGGCATAAAGAGGCATGGCAACATCTGCATTCATTCATTCATTCATTCACTCCATGTTGCGGGTTGGCCGGCGTCGTATCAGCAGTCAGACCACCAGGCGGTCGTGGCGCCGTCCGCGAGAGGCTCGGCGATGCGGATTATTTGACATCATTTCGACGATAGCGGCGGCTTCCCAACGGAACTGGGAATTGATCAAGGCTGTGGAAGAGCTGGGCCCACCCGGCGGCGCAGGGACTGGATGCAATGGCGTGAATTTATCTCATCCCGAAACGCACTTGACGGTCATCTGGTCTGCGCTGCTTGTCGAGAAATGACCCTGGGCCGCGCGCTTGGACACACGCCCTTTTGCAGCGACATGGACGAATCTGCACTATTGACACCTTGCCAGGTTAAATATGTATGTATGTACTACCTACATAGACGCAACGCTGCTCTTGGATCCCAAGCAACGCAAAACATTGCACAAGCACTGATGGGTGTATTGGTACAGTGCTGTAGCAATTGAGCTTTGAGTGATTTTGGACGTGGCGCCTGATGATGATGGCATCAGGCACGGCCTGGCCTCTTTTTTTTTTTTGTGAAACACGTCCCCAATGGCACCATGGCTCTGCCGCAACCCCCGTTGTGGACGGTGACAGTCGACGCTTTATGCACGGCTTGGCGGCTAGTCGTCTGCGGACCCGAGCATAATCATTGAAATGGCCGACAGCTTCATTCATGGGCATCAATCAAACCCGCGCGCTTTGGTTTTGCGTCGCAGGCACGGAGCAGTGGTCTGGTGACCCCGATCTTCTGTCAGTTTGACGTTTCATCGCCATGTGTCGTGTCTGTTGTTGGCCTCGTTGCTTCGTCCGTGCTCTTTTTGGCTTTTATTTTGTGTGGACTAAATGTGCACTTTCCGGGGTCTCATTGCAGAGGCCGTTCCGAGGCCGTGCCTCTTGGAATCACGGGTTATAATTATAGACTTGCCGCATTTACATACTAGACTCTGTTTGCGTCTGTTGGGTACTGCCCAAGCAGTCCTCTCCGTACTCATGTACACACGTACCATGGCCGAGTACTAGTAGTATTGTATAATGGCCCCCCCAAGCTCATAAGAGATAGTATCGACTTGATGAGTAGCATCGTCGAAGCCGAGCCAGCACGATACCGTTGCTCGACTGGGTTTGGCCCATGCATCGGCCCAGCAACCCCCCTGTCGATTCTCTTCCGAGCACGGCACAGACAGCAGAGCAGCGCGTCCAAGGCCTTGCTCCAGAGTTGTATTGTGTGTATCCTGGAGGGCCCCAGCCGAGCCCGGGCTCACTACTCACAGAACGGCTCAAGTGCATCCTGCTCGCCAACTTGACAATCCCCTCGGGAGACGGCCAGGACTGGGAGACGCGAGCTGGGGCCGGCCAGGCACGATACCACATCACCACATCGCCACCAGGCCTGGCAGCGTCCGCAGCACCTCTAATAATACCGGTCAACCGTAGTAGCACTTGAGTACTTGACCTGTGCCGTCGGCGCGGCGCCCCAACGGTCGGCCGTCATGCGCCACTGCAAAAGAAGGCCCTGGCACCAGCCTGGCAACCAGGTCTGTCTGGTCTGGTCTGGTCTGGTCTGGTCTTTGGCCTTGGGCCTTGGGCCTTGTCACCAGAACGGAGGAGCATCACCGTCTGGGATGGTGCGGCGGCGCACTGTCCGCTCGCACTGTGCCATTTTGCCTGTGTCTTTCCCGCGGCCCTCGTCCCACGCCGCCAAACCTTCTTCTTTCCTCCTTCTCCCCGTCTCTGCCACTCTGCCTTATCTTCCCGTCCCAAGCAGGAATTGTCTCTGTTGGCGGGACCGACGTGATCTCAATAGACGACTTGTAATGCCTCAATCTGTCGTCCCAGCTGGCGCATCGGATTGACATGCTTCTGTCGGCTGCTGAGCACGCCTCTTCTCTCCCAAACCTCTGAACCTGACCCCTCCATCTGCCCAACAAAGCTGTCGAAACCCCCCCGCCATCCGTCATCCGCCATCCGCCCGCCACGGCGCTCCAGTCTCGCCTCTCCTGCCTGCCTTTGCTGACTGAAGCCGACAGACCAGACACTCACAGTCTCGCCCTCTAGTCTCACTCACTCACGCACTCGCTCTCTGTGCTTGTGTGCCTGCGTGCTTGTGCTGCTGCGCGCCCGAGTGTCCGTGTCACCACCATTTCTGTCAGCGAGCCCACCCCGCGACCACAACCCGCCTCTTGCATCGCAATCCGACACCCCAAAACAAAGCAGTTTCGCAATCGCCGCTGTCTCGCCTCACGCGGCCATTTCCATCTCCCGAGATAGGACACGCCTGCCATGGTTCTGGACGACTCTGGCCCAAGGCTCTCGTCGCGCGCTTCAACAATGTCGAATCCCACCACGGCAAGCGCTGCGGCTGGCACCAGCAACCCACCTGCTGCTGTTGCTACTGCTGCTACTGCTACTGCTACTGCTACTGCTGCTGCTGCTGCTGCTGACGACTCTGGTGAGCTTGAGCCCACTTTCGATTCGACACCTTCTGCTTGCACTGCCTGCCCCTCCTGTTGTTCCGGCCACGGCGTGCCTTGCCGCATGTCAAGTCGTTATCGGGTCATGTCCAGTCACATCCATGCCGTGTCCGTTCCTCGCCGGTGCTGCTTGATCGTTCTGTGCTCATTCGGCTGACCCTTTGATGCACCTGTGCTCTAGCTTCTACAATTACCGTAAACACCAAGGCCCCGTCCGCCAACTTTCCTCCTCCCAAGACGGACAAGCCTCGCCCGCACGTTTGCGCAACCTGCCAGCGCTCCTTCGCTCGCCTCGAGCACCTGAAACGGCATGAGCGTTCCCACACCAAGGAGAAGCCGTTCGAGTGCCCCGAATGCTCACGATGCTTCGCTCGTCGCGACCTGCTTCTTCGCCACCAGCAGAAGCTTCACCAAACATCTACCCCGTCCTCGCGCCCTCGCAATCGACGTGAGTCTGCCAGCGGTGCTGCTCCCGCGCAGAGCAGACGTAAGAACAGCGTGGCCGGCGTTAATGCCGCTGGGTCCGGTGCCGCGGCGGCTCCCATGCGCCCAAGGGCAAACACCATCAGCCACGTAGACGGTGCTGCGATGCAGATGCTCGCCTCTGCGAATGTCTCGGTGGCGCGGGGCATGGCTCACAGCCGCCACCCCAGCCTGGTCGGACTGCCGGTCCATAACCTGGACCACGTCTTTGGCGGCATGTCCGCCGCTCTGGGGCAGAGAGGATTGCAGCATGGGCTTCCCAAACTGGAGACATCGCAGGTTGGGAGCAATGACTTTGACGCCAGTGGGCTGAGGACGGCGCCGCCCATGGCCGTCTTCAACCCCGAGTTCGACTTTGAGGGTCTCTTCTTCGGCCCGGGATCTACAATTAACCCCAACGCTCTACACTACAATGACTCGCCACAATCCATGGCCCTGGACCAGACATCTCCGTTTGGCCAAGGTCTGCCCGACGTTGCCGCGACGCAGCACTTTGATGACTGGGTAACAGGATTTGAGCATCAAATGTCATTCAACACGAACGAGCATGTGATAGACGGATCGAGCCCGTCGGCTATTAGCACGACGAGCCAGAGTGGGATTAGCGATGTTATGGTAGATGGATCAAACCACCCGGCCCCGGCTGGGACGAGTACCATGTGGCAACCCTCCGTCATGGGACCTCCGCAGATGCCGAACCCGTTTGCGATGGATTTAAATGGTTCAGTCTTTCCAGATCTCCTTAGTGGTGCTCCATTATCACCTCAGCCAGCTACTCAAAAGATCAATGACCCGTACTTCTCCGCGCCTCCAACTTCGCTGAGCTCGTTGAGCACGTCCGTCGTATCTGGAATAAATTCACAACCGTTGAACCCACCCCTCGGCTTCAACGCCGCCCAGGAAACTCCGTCATCCCTCAACGGGGGGAACCACGCCGCTTCTCCCGTGACAACCATAACAGATGCCACCCGGACTGCTATAGTGACCATCCTTTTCCACTGTCTGCCTTTTGGTAGCCGTAAAAACCCCTCACTTTCCTCGCTAGGCTCGCCTCAAATCCAATCCGGCGGCAATTCCTCTTCAAATCCGGCCATCAACGTGCCCAGTACCCAGGATCTCCAGAGATACGTCAGGGCCTACTTGACATGTTTTCACCCTCATCTCCCATTCCTGCACCTGCCTACACTGTCCTTTGATGTGTCTCCTGATTCAATAGGTCGTTCCAACGGCGCAGGTGGCAATGGGTGCTTGCTCCTTTCCATGGCTGCATTCGGCGCTGCTTACGAGATGGAACATGCTCAGTCCAGAGATTTGTTTGACATGGCCAAAAAGATTGTGTTCTTTTATCTTGATGAGAGACACAAATCCGATGTCCGCAGAGCCGATACACGACTGAGTACCATCTCTACTGACTCAAAGGTCCAACAGAACCAAGCTCAATCCAGCACACCGTTGTGGCTCGTTCAAGCCATGCTACTCAACGTCATATACGGCCACACCTGCTCCGACAAAGTGACGAGTGATATTGCGTCGACGCATTGTGCGTCTCTCGTCAGTCTCGCACAATCATCCGGTCTAATTAGCCAAGGCAAGGGCAACGTGCCAACCAAGCAAGATGTTGACATGGCTGATACCGGAGACTGGACGCGCATATCCGAGCAAGAAGAGCAACGAGAGTGGCTCCAGTGGAAGTCGATGGAGGAACACAAACGCACGGTATACGTCATCTTCATTCTGTCCAGCATGGCTGTTGCCAGCTTCAACCACAGCCCGGCCTTGACTAATTCCGAGATCACGCTCGACCTTCCGTGTGACGAAGAATTTTTCGCCGCGGAATCTGGCGCCGCCTTTGCTTCGAGGGGAGGAGTTGAAGCTGCCAACCACAACCGCCTAACTTTCTTCGACTCGTTGGGGGATCTTCTGCGCACAAATGAGAGGCAACATTCCATGGGCAACAGCCAGCCTCAATTCGGGTCACCAATGAACACTACAGATACCCCTCTGACAGATCTGAAGCCCAGCACTTTTGGCTGTTTGGTGCTCATCTATGCGCTGCACAACTACATTTGGGAAACCCGACAACGCCATCAAAACCGGACGTGGACCAACATAGAAACAGAAAAGATGCACATGCACATCGAACCTGCCCTCAAGGCTTGGCAAATCGCATGGTCCAGTAACCCGCAACATAGTATCGAACGACCAAATCCGTTTGGCTTGGGACCAATGTCTGCAGACGCGATTCCTCTTTTGGATCTGGCATACGTCAAGCTGTTTGTTGATTTCGGTCCGGCCAAAGCAAAGATCTGGCAACGAGACTGGGATGGCATGATTGAGGAACTTTCCCGAGGCTTTGAGACGCAAGATGAAGCACGGTCGCCGACCTGCTCTTCTGAAACTGGGACAGACCCATCGTCCAACTCGGTCATAAACCCCGGGTTTATGGATTCCCCGGCAACGCAAAGCTCCCTGAACGGCATGCACGCCGACAAGCCTTTCGGCACCGGTCAGGACGCCAATGGTACGGGACGAAGCATATCAAGACGCGAGAGGTATCTCAGAACAGCCTCGTTTTATGCTGTTGACTCTCTATCCATGTCGGACAAGCTTGGGGTTACGTTTGCGGATAAGACTAGCCACGAACTGCCCATGCAGACTGCTCTATGCACTGCTGAATGCGCGCAAGTGGTTGCCGGATGGATCACTGCGCTCCAAGAGCGAGTCGGGCCGTACCTCGGTATTGTGGGCCAAGATCATATCGATCTCAGCCAGGTTCCAGCGATTATTCTCTTGGAGGAGGAGGATATTAAGTTGCTGGACAAGGTCAGAGACATCTTGTCAACAGCCGAGTTGAAAATCAACATGCGGCTAGGACCGAATGCTACAGGCACGATCGGTGGACACGAGTCTGTTTTATCACCGGATGGGTTTACTGGCTATGCGTGTCAAATTCTCCGTCTCGCAGCATGGATGGTAAACAAATCGGCCGTCTGGCCTGTGGCTCACATCGCGGCTCACGGGCTGGAAACATACGCGAACCACTTGCGAGTGAGGGCAGAAAAGTCCGTGACGGGGTCCATGCCGCTAACATTATGAGATGTATCGATCTGAATATTGATGGCTTGCCAGACGTCTCTGAGGGCCTTTTCTCACTCTTCTTCGGTTTTCATCTTGGCCGAATCGATCAATCGACCGCGCAACGCTCATGACTAGACACGAACTTTCTAATCGCACGCCGCGTCTTTTGCGTATATAAAATGATGCTCCTTTTTTTTCTCATGCCTTTTCAGTTCTATTTTCGTATCTGTGGGTTTTTTTGGTCAGTCCGGCGTTTGGGTGATTTGTGTATTTGCCGGGCATGCTGCAACGCAACATGCAGAGACTGCGGCAGCCGGTGAGTGCGTTCACATTCTTCATGACTCTCATGACACAACAGGACTTCGCTGTACAAATACATGAAAGCTATTACCTTGTTTGGCGGGAAATACGTAGAGGACAATGAATGGTTAGGTGGCATGCCCAGCTGAGCGACGAAGGGAGAATTTAACTGGCGGATTACATGTTGCAACAAACCAGACTTATAAAGTCAGCGAGAATCAGGTCATGAGATAAAGCTTCTGTGGAAGAAGATTTTTTTTTTGGGCATTCATGGTTTTGCATTCTCCCGACGTGGGCTTATACTTGAACAGTTGCGCGTAATGGGTTCGTATGATGTTTGTAAATAAGAAAGCGGAACGAGGAACGAATATAACACGGACAAAGTATGCTTTGCGGTTTTGCCTGTACAGCTATCGGAGTGTATGAAAACCTGGGCCGCCACTCCCGCAGTCGGCACTCTGATTCTTGAGAGGTCTGGGTCGTGCGGCCTGACGATGAGCAGCTACCCTCAAAGATGAGCCTGACGTCAATTTGAGCCATATTGCGACAAACTTATCTCAGCAAACTCTGTCGAGAATAGGCGCTTCAAGATGGGACCCACCAGGCGTGACTCATAACGGGGCGCTATGCAAGCTCCAACTGAGCAAACGCTTGGTGTTTGTTTCTGTTCATCACTCGCACTCGCACACGGGCAGTAATTTCGGTCTTTGCACGATGCAATGCTCCATCAACTTAAAGTCACTCTGGACCACTTGAGCCTGCCGAGCATTCAAATACTTTAAAAGAAGAAGAAGAAGGGAAAAAAAGTCCCATCTACCTCCTGGCCCCTTTCCTTCAGACCCCGAATCCGAACCCATATCCCGCTCGTCACAGCAGCGTTGACCATGGAAAGCACAAGGAGCAACGACACCACGGCCAAAGCGCCACCATTCCACTTCTCACACGACGCGTCCCTGGCGCAGTTCAGCGTGCCCTTCAAAAGCTGGATCCAGACGAACGGCAAGCCGTGGGACGGCGTCGCCACGGGGGCCCTGGTGTTCGACGCCCGCGGCCGCGTCCTCCTCGTCCAGCGCACGAGCCACGACTCCATGCCGGACCTGTGGGAGGTCCCGGGGGGAGCGGTCGACGCCGACGACGCCAGCATCCTGCACGGCTGCGCCAGGGAGCTCTGGGAGGAGGCAGGGCTGGCGGCGCGCCGCGTGGCCCGCCTGGTCACCGAGGGCCCCGGGGCCGACGCCTTCCAGGAGTTTAGGAACAGCACGCGGTCCAAGTTGATTGGCAAGTTCCAGTTCGAGGTCGAGGTCGAGGTCGCCGACGGCCAGGCGGTGAGGCTGGATCCCAATGAGCACCAGGACTTTGTGTGGGCGACCGAGGACGAGGTTGAGCGCGAGGAGGTCGGCGGCAAGAAGATCCCGATTACCAAGAGGAGCCACAAGCTTGTCATTCTGGAAGGCTTCAGGCTACGCAAAGGCGCGCAGAGGGGATAGGGGGCTTCACGGACAGCGCTCAGGGGGAGGGTCTAAGCAGGCAGGAGCCATATAGAGTCTTGGTGGAAGTGCGTACGCTAATTATTTTCTTGGTCGAGGAACAAATCAAGGCTGCCATTGGAACCCACGTGCTTGTGTAGCAAAAACATGTCGAGCAACAAGAGATTTCTGCCATGGCCGTGTACGGAGCATCCATGATCCATCACCGCTGCCATGTTACACACGCACCTTACGCTGCAATCCGGCTCCTGACGGCGGCGATGCGCCCCGTGGCAGCGTCAAACTCGGCGCGATCCAGCTTGCAACTCTTCAGGGCCTGCACGAGCGCCGTCCTCACAGCCTCTCCCTGCGTAACGTTCTTCCCGCTCGCCAGCAATATGTCCATGCCGGCGGCGGCGGCAGCGGTGCCCCTGGCGCCCGCGTCGCCATACGCAGCAAGAGAGCCGGCTTCGAGGGCGTCGGTGATGGTGACGCCCTCAAAGCCCAGTCTGCCGCGGAGCTCGCCCTTGATCCACTTGGCACTCAGGCCGGCCGGCCGGCGATCCAGGGCGGGATACACGGCCCACGAAGCCATGACCATGTCGACGCCGGCTGCGATGGCCGCCTCGTACGGCGCCTCGTCGACGGCGCGCATCTCCGAGAGCGTCAGGTTCAGCACGACGGGCTCGTTGTCCGTGTTGGCGTCGTGCGAGGCCGCCCCCAGGCCGGGGAAGTGCTTGGCGCACGCGGACACGCCCCGGCCCTGCTGGGCGGTGATGAAGGGCACCGCCGCGCGCACCACCTGTCGCGACGTGTTCCCAAACGACCGCCCGTAGTAGTCGGTGAAGTCGCCCGGCTGCCGGAAGACGTCGAGGACGGGAGCCAGGTTTGAATTGCACTGGTAGCGCAGGAGGCTGTCGGCGGCGCCAGCACCGGCGGCCTCGCCCGCCGCGGCCGGGTCGGCAGAAGCCCCGATCTGCTTGGCGCTGAGCTTCGGCTCGCCTTCCTTGATGCGGCGCACCTGACCGCCCTCTTGGTCTGTCGTTACAAGGAAGCGCGCGTCTTTCCCCGTCTTCTTCTTGAGGAGTGCCGGCGCGGGCGACGAGTCGTATGCGTGCTTGAGGGCCGACATGGCCTGCGACGTGTTGGCGTCGACGTTGACGCCGAACAGGATGACGCCGCCGACGAGACCGGCCCGTGTGAGCCGCATCAGTTCGTCTGGGGGCTGGCTGGACGACGGGAAGGAATACACAACGTGTTGGCCGGCGAGAATGTCGAGCTCATCGTAGCCCGTGGCTCGACCAGCTGCCAGCAGCACAGTGGCTGCCACCAGCGATTTGCGGAGGGTGTAATATGGCATTGTGGGAAGTTGAGCCCCTCGATATGCTCTTGTTTGTAATTTTTCTCTTCTTTTCGGAAAACAAAGGGGTAGATTTGCTTCTTCCCTCTACAAGCAAGAACCAGTCCCAGTCCCAGTCCATCTTTTTAAGCGAAGCGGCCGCTATCACAACTCAGGACGAGCCATCACCAAGCCTCTAGGTCAGGGTTTCCTCCGGCACCCCATCTCATCCATTGCGACCAGGGATTCCAGGCCTAGCACAAGAGCAAAAAAAAGAGTTGACTGTCAAGAATTTTCTCCGCCATGACGACGTATCTGGCTCGATTGACTTGAGCAAAGGGCCGGAGTTGAAGAGACACGGGGTGGGGCCCCGGGTAAATGCGATTGAGAGAATTGATGAGATGCCGGCGAATCAGGGGCCGTGGTCCGGGCTGGCCACCCTTTTGGGTAATTATTGTACTCCGTGACCGGTAAAAGTGGGCCATATGATCCGTGCGGAGCGAGCGGAGTGACGATTCACCCCGGAACCCTGAACCATTTGCCTTGGTTCTGTTGCTGTGGAAAGGCATGACTTCTTCTCGTGTAGATGACCACTTGCGGTCGTTACTGACAGAGGTGTATCCTTGGAGCGTCAATTACACGACAACATGGGTACCAAGGCTACCTACACCGCCGTCGGAACCCAGGCGCCCAGCGTCTCCTTCGCATTGTGATTGCTGCTCCATTTCCTCGGCGGATGCACGCGGTTGCTCAAATGCACAAACAGTGTGCCACTTGCACGGTCAATCACCGTTGACGTGCCCGTGAAGCCCGCGTGGCTCGCCGCCAGCATGTTGGCCATGGACCCCGCCGTGTAAAAACTGGTTCAGCTCGAGCTCGACCCGACAGCGTGGTCCCTGCCCAGGTCCGCCAGGAAGTTGGTGAAGATCAAGTTAACTGACACCTTGGACAGGATCCTGTGCCTGCCATAGATGCCGTTGTTTGGAATCATCTGGCAGAACCACGCCATGTCACAGGCTGTGGAGAAGAGTCCGGCGCGGCCCGAGACGCCGTCCAGCGCCCAGGCATTCTCGTCGTGGACGGTTCCATGCACAGGCTACGGCCGCTGTGGGAGCCCGGGGACGTTTCTCTCGACCGAAATCTGGAGCTCCTGCGCGGCTATTTGCTTTGTAGTACTTGAACTCAGGGCCCTCGACATTGCCCCGGTTGAAGAAGGTACTGCTGTGCATGCGCAGCAGGGACGTGTTCTCGTAGATGTTGTCGTCGAGCTTCTTTCCTGTGACCTTTTCCACGGCCAGCATCAGCGTCATGAAGTTGAGGTCCGGGTAGAGGTACTTGGTGCCTGTCTTGTACACCAGCTTCTCGCCCAGAATGGCCCGGGTCTGGGCAGCGCAGGACGGCTACTGTGGTGAACATCTTGGCCTGGCTGACCATGTCGTAGATTATGTCCTCAGTGGCGTCCTCCTACTGCGACGGCGGCAGCAGCGTGTCCTCTATACGTTGACGCCGGCTCAGAGCTGCGCTTCCCAAAGGCCAAGTACACTGTAGCTCACAATGGTACCCCTGTTGGCGACGATGGTGATGCCGCCGGGTTCAACGGGCACCGTCCGGTTGTACGAACGGCGGCCCAAGTTGCGCGTTTCGGTGAAATGCGTCAAGTTGGAAACCATGTCCCTGGGGTCTTTGAGAGCATTCCCACGGATTCCGGGCTGCCATAGTTGAGCATGTCGCAGCCGGGGTTGGCGTTGGCGATGCTGGCGAATGTTGACGGGGCTGAAGCAAGCATTGCCAGACCGAGAGAGCAGGTGCTACTCTTGGAGAGGTATCGACATGATGGGCAAGAGCAGGCAGGGCGCCAAGAGACACCAGGAGACACACCATGTGTTGAGAAGAAAAAAAAAGGAACAAGTCATTTTCGAGATGGCAATTCTTGTGTGCTTTTCACGCCACCTCGCGGGGTTATCCGCCAGAAAGATCGGCGTTCTATTTTAGTCGACAGCCAGCCAAGGTCCGCAGGAGCATCATCAGCTGCCAGCCTAGGGTTCCTTTAGCCGCTCGTCATACTAATGGGAAAATGGCAACATTGACTCTGCTGGTCTCAAACGAAGAGAGAAAACAAGCGAGTACGGAGTAGGAGAGAAAAAAAAAGGGGGGGGGGAGGGGGGAGAGAGCAAACTAATCGACAAACTGATCCAATCCACCAGCTACTTACTTGGCTCCTTCTCAAAAGCAAGAAACACGTTGAATCTTCAAGCTCTGCTTGTCCCCGCGCCCCGAAGCTCAGCTTTTTCACAACAATGCACATCTCACTTCCGCGTCAGCCAACGCTCGTGCATATGCATGTGCACAAAATATACTAGACACTAACTTAAGTAAGTAGTATTCAACCATACTCTTTCCAAGACAACAAGCAAGAACATGCCTCCCTCGCCATCTCTCCACAATGTCCTCGTTATTAGCCTAGCGCGTCTAAGGCTCCCGTGCGGAGTTGGCAAAAGACGGTAAATAAATCAAGTCCATGCCCTCACCATGTTTTATGCCTCACCGCCCAACTCTCACAATCTCGGCCAAGGTTTCCCTGGCTCCATGCCAGTTCTGGGCATCAATTACTCTTGCACCACAGCAGTTCCTGCGGCCCCCCCTTCTATGTATATGCCTGGCCTTCTCACATGAGGTCCGCCGTGCGTCCGGCAGGCAAACAAGCAGCGGGGCCAAAATGAGTCTCGATTGTCATTTCTGTCAGGAAGTCCGTGGGTAATCAATCATGCTTTCGCTTCTATCAAGAAGTTTACTTGGCGTGCTGGAATCTGCAGAGACACCCGCAACTTACGAGACCGTGGAATGGCCGACGGCTTTGTCTGCCCGTCCAACGAGATGAGCTGTCTGGTTGTTTCTTTCTTCTTCCCCGTTTTCAACCCGTGACATTCTCTAGCTAGCTACCGTCGTTGGGCATGGCCATGTCCGACTTGGCTGGCAACATTGAACTGGCTTGGTTTGTGCAGGCAAACAGAGTCACCGCGACGGATTCATGTTGGAGAGGACCATGGCATCTAAAGACATCTCTCTGCCTCCTCCCTTACTTCCCACATCTTTGCGTGAAGCTCATCTTACAAGCCCTTTTATTTAAGGCGCGGCTCATAGCAAAAGGTCACTCACAGGTATTTATTTAAATGTCTCACTATGTGCAGCCTCCTCGTACATATTCAAATAATCATGTCTATCTGACTCGTCCAATATCATCATCAGCCTTTACATCGGCTGGGTATGAACTCCACAAATCCACATGCTAATAGCTTTTCCCAACGCCTCCCTTTCTTCGTTTCCCGTCCAGGTCCAGTATCAAGGCAAAAAACGCCGTTTGTCGTCCCAATGTGTTCACAGTTCCTCAATTTCAATTGTAGTACCGATCGATAGGAAAGTCTGTGGCCTAGTCTCGTCCCAGTACATCAACGTCGTATCATCCTTTCCTACTCTTTTCTTCGTATTTCTCTTTCAGTTAACGGCATTAGCTTCATTGTTTATACCAGGCCGGGTTGGCAAGTCCCCAAGGTGCAAGTTGACCGGAGGTCGCGAAATTTCAAAACTTCGGCTGGGCATCCGACTTCCCGGGGTTCTAGGGTGTGCCACGTTGACTCGCCCGGTCCGATCTAATATCCTCGTAGGCAACTCGTCAGAATCATCCGATCCAGAGTCGTTGTCATCTTCATTCCCGTAGCCTGCGTTGGCAAGACGAGTAAAGTAATCAGCCAAACCATCCACGCTCGGGGTTCCCACCACAGCATCATATTGAGGAGGTGGTGTCATGACAGGAGCGTTTGCTGCCCCTTGAACTTCGTTGACGAGAAGCGGTGGCGGCGCTGTATCGTCGTCAAACGCGGGTGGATTGAAGCTGGGCACGCGTAACAAGTGAATTGGCCGCGGCTCGCCTTGAGTGCCCAAATCATCCACCGACCGCAGGGGACTACTGATGCTGGACATGGGGCTCATTGCTGAGTGCGCAAGGTGAGCAGCTTGGGGCGGCAGCGGGAAACCGTCATTGCTCAACTCCGTTCCAGGCAACGTGCCGGTGGATGAGTTTTGCGAGCCTTCGCACGGCAATGAGGCCGAGTCGGGGCAGCCACATACTGACTGATGAGGCGTTTGATTGTTGTTGGGGCCAGCGTATGCTGGCAGGTTCGTGTTAGCCTGCGTTGCCCGGCAATTGAGCACTGTGAAGGGCGAGTCGATGCTGATTTCAAAATGTCGGCGTTTCTTCCCTGATGGGTCCTCGGGGTCTATGCGGCTGATTCTCAGAACGATCTTGATCCAGTGATAGACGTTGACATTTTTCCAGCTACAGTCTGGATTGAGCCTGAGATCCTTGTTCTTCGCCATCATTTGGCATGTTGGAAGCTGAACGTTTGCCTCTATCTCTGTAGACCCCCACATGTGCTCCAAGCCAAGGTCAAGATCACCGAGCAAGTTGTTAGTCGGTTCGGGGAGCGGTTCAGCAGCCCTGCCGCGTCTTTGCGCATCCCGTGCGCGCCTCAAATTCGCAATATCTCTGGCCTGGCGGCGTTGTTCGGGCTGAAGCTCGCCGCCGCGAACGGTGGTGAGATCTGACGTGGCCCAGTTGGCATCAAGTGGTTTGCCTGCTGTCTTCTCGAGGAGGAGAATCTTGCGTCCCGGATCCTTTCTCGTGACGCGTTTATCATTTGTCCAGTACTCAATTGACTCCGTCACGTATACCTTCAACTTGTGCAATTGCACCTTGGCAAGTGGCGTGAGCTTGAAAGCAATCGGGATCTTTGAGCCGATAGGGAAGCTCTTCCCAGAGATGACGATGTCATAATGAAGTTGGTCTTCCCATTGTCTCGATATGGAAATTGGTTCGGTTGTCTCCAGAGACATTTGATCTGGCAATCGCACAATGGAAACTTCCTTGGTGCCATGCAAGTTGGGCTTGAACGCACCGGCGCGATCCACACTCGCATGGAGCTCCCATTTTACTGAGCCATATTGCAACTTGGTTGTCTCTAACTGGTGATGATCAATAGGGAGCTCAAAGGTATAGTTATAAGTGCCTGGATAGAACACCTTGAAGCCCTTGACTTGAGTTGTCGTGGCCACTCCGTTCTCGCTCTTGCCAAAGCTGCGCGACTGCGTATTCTGCAATGAAAGTCTCTTAAGCTCCTTGGCAGTCAAGCCATTTCGTGAGGATGACGAGAGCAGGAGGCTGACTGGACGATGGGGTGCCTGGGGTACGGCAAGGTTTGTGCTACTCGAGTTTGCTGAACTGGACTTCAACTTGTACGTGCACTGGTTGCCATATTCACCCTCCCAGCCGTCGTGCATGGCATTGAAAAATGTCAAGACCTGCGTCCTCAAGCTTTCCTCCTCACAGACGTCCTGCTTCAGGGGAGGGATGCCCTCGGGCCACTCGGTGCGGGCACGCCCCAGGAGCTTGAGCTGGATTGCCTTGATCTTGACATTCTTGGTCACGTTCAGCTGCAGCTTTCCACGTAAGAGGGCGGTGCCAGTCTGGCCATCGCGGTGCACATGGCCGTCGTGATCAAAGCCGGTGAGGAAGATGTTGCGCTCAGCCAGGAGTATTGAGCAGGAGACGCCGCTACCACTGGCAACGGGCTTGGGGACCTCGGTCACAAGTGATGTGACGGCCGACTTTGCGGAGCGGACAGACATGAGGCTATTCCGGTGACTTGCAATGTTGTATGCAGCCGGAGGATTACTGCTGGCCACAGCCATTTCGTCCGAAGGGTGTGGGTGGGATGGCCGATGAGGCGAGAGGCCTGGGGGAGACAGGTGGTGGTGGGGCTGGTGTGGAATCTGGGCTGCCGAGTCTTGACGGGCGTCGTCATAGGCCGGGGACGCCAGCACCCCTGCCGATGCCGATAGTGTCGTCGCGGGGACAGCGGAGTGTGTCTGTACCTGCGCCCGCCCTGGTGCTGGTGTCGCTTGTGTCGGTAGTGGTTGGCGTGGTTGCGAGGCCTCGGTGTTGTTTGGTGACCGTCCTGAAATCGACGCAATGAGTTTTCCTAGAGCGGGTCTGAAAATTTGCGACGAGGATGTCGACGAGCCGTTTCTCTTGTGATGGAATATCTTGCTGCTGCGGCGGCTGCTGTTAATGCTGCTGCTCTGGCCAATGCCGGGGTATGTGGCGCCGGAAAACGCCAACGGCACTTCCGAGTCGGGGCTCGATCTTGGTGGTCTTTCGCCGCGGCTCCTTTGCGATCTTTCCCTATTGGTTTTTGCGTCGGGCCGCAATTCGCGGGGCACGTATCCAGATGGATAAGTGACGACGTGTATAGCGTGCGGTCTCGATCGTCTAGGGCTGATGAGCGGTGTAGGGAAGCAGTCTGTTGATGGCGAACGGCGGTCGATGTGGGCCTCGGGGCGGTAGAAGATGCCAGTGTTGTTGGTGGCCAGCCAAGGGCCTGAGCGTTGTCGACGTTGCTGCCGCGAAGCTGTCATTGTGATGTGTTAACAGTCTGCTCTGAATGTTCTTGTTGCAATGTCTCCCCAGAGCGGTGCGGTTATGCTGCCAGGCTGCTGCTGCAACGCAAACACGGCGCTAGCCGAGGCTCAGTGAAGCTCTGCGAGCGCTCTTGCAAGCCGAGTTGTTGCAGCGATACGGTGAATTGATGAGCATGAATCAAATGGGGAGGGAGGGGGTGTTTAGGAGGGAAAAGAGAAACTACAAAAAAAAAAAAAAAAAACAATGGGATGAGCCAAGGAGGACATAGATTGACTTTGACGATTTCTTGCTACAGAACGGGTCTAGAAAACGGCCGAAACGGCACTGGCCGTCATTTCTTGACCGGATGGGGCAAGGGTTGACTCGGTGGACTTGGTTATAGTACGGAGTACGTGGTCGAATTTGGTGTTGATGGGGTGGGCTGTTCATGCAGTCGACGCCAGTGCCCAAGACCCGAGACTTGAGTCGTGAAACTCAAGACACAAGCTTGGGCGCATCAAGCCCAAGTGGAAAGTAAAATTAGACGGGTGGAGAGCCTTGGAACTGCCAGGCACCAGGTCGATCCCTCTTCCCAGTGGCGACGACAAGGTGCAACCCGTCGTCAGAATGGTGTCCAGTGCCGCCAAATCAACAAACGAGGGCCACGAAGCATGGGGAGGTCATAGAGGGGTGGTGAGTGAGGCGCGAGACGTTGCTCAGACGAAGCGCCAAAGACAGATGGGAGATGAGCGGTGTCGAGCAATGGCTTCAATGTTCAATGTTGCAAGCTCCCGCTCTATGGCTCGTCGTCTCTCTGCTGCAACCAGCTGGGTCTGAGGTGTACCTTTGAACCTTGGGGGATCTCAAATGCCACGAGGCGCATCAAACGTGACGAAACTTAAAACATGAGGGGAAATGTATTCCCAGATATGGCGACGATGCAACAACAATTCGGATGAGAGAAAATGGCCACGGCGGGAGAGACAGAGTTTTGGCGGTTTTATGGCTTAAAGGCAGCACAAAAGGCTCGATGCTCGAGTCGTGCGCTGTTGAGAATGAGGGTGTAGTTATGCACTCTTGCGTGTGCATGTGTGCATGTGTGCATGTGCGTGGAACTGAGACGAGACCGTCGCAGCCAAGCCTGACAGAGATTGAGGGATAGACCCCGAGGCATCTGCTAGAGCAGATCTAATGAAAATGAGGGCCCGCGGCGACTACTTAGTAGGCAGCTCGGTCAACCGTTCGCCGTTCAGATATGTACAGTACAGCAAAGAACACCAAAGCCCAAGGCCAAAGTCGTCGTAATCAAGAACGCCGGGAGAAGTGAGGCCAGCCAAGGAGGCTCCTTGGGTTCGGCTCCAAAGGCAGAATGGCAAGATTGGAATTGAGTTGCAGGGGCAGCGGGAGGACCACAAAAAGAAGAAAAAAGGACAAAACAAGCTTTCAAGCTTTGGAACTCTGAATCAATGAATTTAGTACTCACAACTTTGGTTTCCTCTGGCTAGTCCGGAGGGAAATGTCCCTCCTAGATTCTTCCTAGTTCGACGCCGTAGCTGACGGCAGGTGCGATGCAAGAGACGACGGCAGGGAAGGGACGACCGTGATGAGGGTGACAAGAACCTGGTAGGCCCGGAGGACTTGCGACGCTAGCCCGTCACTCCAAACTCAACACGTTGAGTGTCGTGTCGTGTTGATGCTGCCACGAAAGGCTGCGAACGAATGCGGAACGCAAAGCGGCGGAGACGTTGCTGCACGGCTGGCTTTGAACGTTTGAGCGACCCGGCAGGACGAGAACAAAGACACAAAAAAGTAAAAATAAACCGGTTCGTGTGCCCTCGTTGCCGTCAATAGCAAATACTACTAGCAAGGCGAGCGAGAGGGACAGTGTTGCAACTACGTCAACGATGCACCCATGAGCACGCTCTCCTCCAACCACGACCTGCGCTGACAGGGGATGCAGGACTAGCCGAGCCTGGAGAAGCAACAGGGATTGAAACTGGAGTCAGATGCAGTCAGCCATGCTTGCTCAGCATTGCAGCGCCTTGTAATTTGTCAATTCGGTCTGCCGATGCCATGGGACCCCCCGTCTCCCATCTGTCATCTTAATGGCTTGCGGCCAACGCTCCGCAAATGCCGGCGACGTGGACAGACTTCTGGCCGGTATCCCACGGGTGGACAAGATGCCGATGGAATCTCTCTGGCAAGCACTTGTTGCACTATCGAACCAAGTCGAGCCCAGCTAATGAAAGGACCTCGCCTGTCGGCACCAGGCCCCCCGTCCCACGGAAATTGGCACAATGCCACTGGGATTTGATACCAAAGCAACCAAGCAACCGTCGTTGTGTGATTCGGGACTGGGATCACCTGAGGGCAATGCAGGCCGGGCTGCCACTCACCTAGGCTCTCTATTTTCGCTTGCGCCACCGTAGACTTGGCTGCTGGGTTCTGGCGCCACGAGAGGCACAGAGTTTCTCTAGCACAATATCCGACTCGATTATAACGCTGGACCAACCGCCATGTGAGAGTTATCTATGAAGACGGAATGTACAATGTCTGTTTCGGAGGTACAAAGACCGAACGGAGTAAGTGGGATCGAAAATGAAGAATCGAATGAGTCTGGTATAGGTGGCTTGTTTGTTCTCAAACGGCGTTCAACTACCTTCCACACGGATGGTGCAAGACGGGTCGGCAACCAACCCAAGGCGTCAGGCATGGGCTGCTGCACCAGATAATATACTATTTCTTTTCCTGGCTGTCAAGACACCACCCTCGGCCCCGGTTACGTAGTTGATGCTATTTGACACAGGCCGTCACCCTAGCAGCACCAGCCTATGGACCCCAATCTCGCAAGTTGCTGAGCAAAGAAAGCGAGCAAAAGCTAACTCGGGTAGTGAGAAAAATCCCCGCGGGAACTAGCCCTACAGTCCGATCGAACTGCGATCCGACTGCTATCCGAGAGATGCTGCGTACATACTCGGGACTCCCTGCCATCAGTGAATATTAAATAAGCGGGTCGTGAACAGCTCGTCTCCGCCCGTTGCCGTTATTTCCACGGGCGTCGACAAACTTTACTTCCTCGCCGTGAGGCTTGCCGTTCTGTCCCGTCCCCGGTTGAAGGTTGTGCGGCTTTGGTGGCGCTGACGCCAGTCAGAAGGACCCATGATACCGTCGAGCGTCCGAGGAACGCCGTGGCGGCCGATGGAATATTCCGTTCACAGTCGAAAGCGTGTTACGCGGCGGCAGTTGTGCGTTTGCGCCTGCATTGCATGGAAGACGGGCCAACGTCAGCTGCAAACAATGAGAGTTCCCAAGTGGCTAGGGAGGCGATAATTTACTCTAGGGGTCATTATTGATTCGTCATTCACACCGATCCCCTCGACTAGACGACTGGATACGACACGACAATCCGCATTGTTGACAAAACACATTCCAGACCTCAGAAGCCTTCTTTTTGGGCTCGTCATAACGCCTGTCCGTTAGCCCTGGTGACGCCGAACCCCCCACCAGCGCCAGCATGGGACACAGCAAAGGCGACGTTAGTCGTGACTTATTACGGAGTACGGAGTAGCCCGGTCTTGGATGTTCACGTCAGGAGTCTCGGCCGGTGTGCCCCCAACGCTGTGACAGGCTGGTAGTTGGGTAGACGCCGAGCAGAAATTTTGGGACGGGTGGAGTCGCTTTACGCGAGTTTGAGCTTGGCTCACTTGGCTTCAATGTGCGGCTTACCTTGTTATTTCTGCTTGGAGAGGTATTAGATGTTGCTTTGTATGCAAAGGTCTGCTCACAATGCACTCGTGGCAGGGCAATAGCGAAGGTCAAGGAATGAATTCGTTCACTCTTTGAAAATCCAGACATCCCGAATCTCGAGGGTTCGGATATCCCTTGGACAGACAACCAGTGTGAACTCCGACCCTTCCGCCACCATCCAAATGCCGCCCGTCCGTGCCTCGCATCCCTCACGGCTTGATGATACGACTTCAGCATGCCGAGCTTTGTCCTGTCACGTCACCTGATGCCGCCGGGCCATGGCGCCGTGATATCCGAAAGAGCCGAGTTGCATGGGGAGGAGTTGTTCCCCGAATCGCAAATCGCAAGACCCTTTCTTTTGAGACCCCAGACTGTCTGCCGCAAGGGTCCGGTGCCATGCCATTGTGCAGAACATTTCCTTGTCTGAGACAAGCAGCGAAGGGTTGCAGTGCCCTAAAGCTGTCTTGGGTGCGTCGTCAGCAAACCCCAGACAGCAGTTCTCGTGACGAACAACGGGCAGGCTAAGAAGACTACAGTGTCGTATTTGCTGTGTGGCTATTCTCATTGCATTGCTCGCAATGCCGCTTCACCCCGACATGTCCTGCAAAGGTGGCCAATATGACACGCCTTCCTCTTGCATCACATTATAACGTTACTCCTGGTCACTTGCTTGCTTGTACCCTTGAAATTCGAATTTCCGAGGCATAAAAGCATCCGTCCCGCATGACAAGCCTGGGCCACTGGCATACAAAGTGCTGTTGACGCGCATAGCAGTAAAATGCAATGCCTGAATGATATCCCTGGACAACTACGTCATTACTAGTCGCTGGTCCCGTCGCCCCATTATCAGTCTGCGACCGCCAAATTTCACCTCCATCAACATAAATCCCGGCATAATTTGGCGCAAGTGGATAATGCGCGAAAACCAATTGAGTTGCAGTCGTGGACGAAGCCAGACGCCACCAACGAATTCTCCGAGCCAGCCGTACCTTATCGTGAAACAGATACTAAGGTTAATTGCCCCTATGATGTAAATGCTCCCTCTCAAACGTCACGGAGATTATGTGAGTTTATCGCGCAAAGGCCAAGGAACTCAGGAAACACGTCGTAGATCGACGACTGGGAATAAATAGCCTTCCACATTTAGAGGAGAACTTTCACAAACATCTTTTGTCAGGCCAATACTCGAACCGTCGTGACATGTGGAACGTTGGCTAGAAGCCTGGAAGTCTCGCATCACGCCAACGAAGCGTCTGGGTTCAAATAGCAA